GAGTGAGGAGTGAGGAGTGAGGAGATGCGCTGATGCCGGTCCAGTCAACGTGACTGGCTCGAATGGCGCATGTCGACTGGGCCCCAAAATAGTCCCCGTCGCTCGCGCGTGTCTTTCCTCGTTTACACGATTGCCACAATGCCTCATCTCATCTCATCTCAATATGCACATACACACACACACACACTCGGACCGGTTAGACTATTGAGAAGGGAAGAGGAGTGGGTGTGTCTCGTAGACTAGACTAGATTACCATAACTGTGTATAAGGTTTGTGTGTGTGTGTATGCTTGCTTGTGCTCATGAATTGTGGGAAGAGGGGAGATTGAATGGGAAATTAGAGCAGCCTTTCAGTCCGACGACGATTTGCTCCAACAAGCATTAGCCCCCTCGCGCAGCTCATGCTTGTGTGTGTGTTTACGGCACGTCTGTGTCCTAATGCCGTCGGAGACAGTCCGTCAAGCCGTCAAGCCGTCAAGTCGTCAAGTGGCCCTTCACGTGGTTGAGGTCCGGCGATTGGGCGTAGCGACGAGGCCTGATACTTGACGGCCGCAGAGAGACACGCGTCACCTCGGCACCACGCCGGCACCGGCACCGGCACCGGCGACGGCGACGGCGACGGCGACGGCGACGGCATCGACGGTCGGGATTCCGTTTCCAAGCGCGATGCGCACGAGGTCTTCGTGTGCCGTCGAGATGCAATCAGGCAGTCGCTCACATGCGCATAACTTACACGTTTATCTTTCAATATCCGTGTGTGTGTGTGTGTGTGTGTGTGTGTGTGTTTCTGGGAGAGAGAGAGAGAGAGAAAGGAAGAGGGAGAAAGTGTGCTTGCGGTTGATATGAGAAGTGAGCCAACACCTGTTAGCTCAATCTTGTTACCTGCCGCCTGTCGTCCGGTCTGGTGCGCTCTGTGCCAGCCCGACGGCTGTGTCTGTCCGACGCGGCAACCCATTTGCCCCCTTTTTGTCTGTCTCCTCTCAACTAGTCATTGCAACTAATCCGCTCTGTTGGCTTGTTGGCTTGTTA